CGCCAGCCATAGAGACGGGCGGGGCAGAGCGGCACCCGCCGCACTCAGCGCCCCCTAGCGGCCCGCCCGGCCCCGCCGTCGCCTCAGCGGCTCCTCGAGACGCGGCGCCCCTGCCTCGCAGACAGCGGCGATTATTTATTTTCAAGTTTTAATTGCGAGCTTTACTATTACCAGCGCTCGGGAGGATGAGAGGGTTAGGGGCCGTCTCTGGCGCACGTCGCTCGTCCCGCTGCGGCCTGGCAGGGCGGTGAGGGGCGAGGCCGCCGCACAGGCCGCGGGCCCGGCCCCGCCGCCTCAGGGACGTGTCGGGAGGGCCGGGGTCGGTGCTTTTACCACAGGGCAACCCCAGAGAAAAGCCCGGGTGCCGCACCTCGTTTCCCTGGTTGCTCACAAAGATCAAACCGCTTGTTTCAGTCGAGGCCGAGGCGGTGTAGAGTCGTGATTTCTGAGGAGAAAGCTTCATCAGGCGCTGCTGATAGACCCTTCTGAGCGACAGAAAATGGGCGTTGCTGAATGACTGCCACTTCAACACCGTATTTGGTTTACAACATATTGTTTACTCATCATAGCAAGCCAAAATACTAAGGTATGCACAGAATTATTAAACTGTGATTAGAAAAAAGCGTATGTATTTCGGAAACGACGTCTTGTTGGCATTTCGTTTATTGTGTTATGACAGGATGAGTGGTTACAGGTATGGACAGGGGAGAGGAAACACCTTGAATGTGAACATGGCCACAAAATCAGAGTTTGTTCACAACGCTTACCAAGACACTCCAGCCACTGAACAGAGCATGCAGTTGGCCCGTCACACAACACAACTCCCTCTCATGTTTACATGCAGTAAAACAGCAAACCAAAATAACACGCAGTCCTGCTCCCACAGAAGGTGCACTTCAAAAGATCAGCCTCTGTTTCCCCTTCAACACACGAGGAAATGCCTGTGCATACACCTATAAAAAACAGCCAAACAATGAACTGAGGAATGATCTTTTGAAGCGTTATCAATGATAACCATACACCTGCCAAAAATGCATATTAACTGAACAAATTAAAGCACAGTCGAACCAAATCTGTCCCATAAATGCACAATACATTTATTTACTGAAATACAGTAATAGCAGCCCAATGGAAAAAGGATGGGGGGAGGGAAGTAAAGTTTTTCCTTATTTTATGACCTTTCTCAAGGCTGAAGGAGTTTATTTTAAGTAACTAAGCGAGTCTGTAGACACAAATGAAAAGCTACATACAAACCTGTACGTATACCCAACATCTGTAACATCTGTCTATACAGTAAGGGCAAGGGCAGGTATTAGCATCTTTTGAAAATCAGACCCGTCATTTTTATGCAGTTAAGAACTCAAACTAAGAACTAAAATGAAGCAAATAATACTAATCACAAGGTCAAAAGGACTGTAAACAGTGACAGGCTAATGAACACAAACAGAAGACAGGGCTATAAAATGCATTTTTTTTGCAAAATGTCAGGCGGTCGCACCGTACATGACTCGCAAACCTTGTAACGATAGTAATTGTGACAATTACTATGGTTAAAAATCACCAAAATAAAGCAAATTATCCACTTACAATATGAAGTAATAGCAGAGATTGTGAAAGATTGGGCTTTATGCTTGAAGTACTAGATAAACCAGGTTATTTTATTCACAGTTTCACTAGCTACTGACTCAGGGACATTGTTCACAGGGACACCCTGGTGTGCAGACCCGGCACACACGCTTTTCCAGTGATCCCATGCAGTGGGGTCCTTCACAAGTCAACTGTCTGTGCACAGTCAGACATTTTTGTGAAGTTTAGCAGGACTAGGGCACCGGTGCCACGCTCAGCTTCCGACCACGCTTCCTGCCCCTTCAGACTACAGGGGTTTGAAGGAAGACAAATACTGCCTACCACAACAAGGCCCAGTATGAACTGGGACATTGCTGCAATCCAACTAATATGTAATTTAAGTGTTAATAATATCAGAGGAAGAGCTTAAAAAACCCCAAAGAAACAAGGTTTTAAAACCTCTTCAGCTGAATTTCCAAGAGCAATTAATGCTGGCACAGCTGACAGGAATACTAGCAGGAAACTGAACGGTAGATATCCACACACCTAACCCCTCACATAGCTGATAAATAAAAAACCAAGCAATGGCTGGTGCACAGATGCAGGGAAGGAAAAGTAAGTGAAACCTGTTAGCTGACATAAAAAAAATATTGTCTTGTATTTTAAAACCAGCCAGGTTATGGAGCACACGGGCCAGATTTTGGGAGTCAGAGCAAGAACTTCACAACAGCACTCCTGAAACTTGAAGAAAAGTGTACCCTCATGATACAGACGAGATTAAGAACTACTGCTCTTTGCTAATTGGAGAGAATCTAATGTAAGTATCATTATCTCATAACAACAACTGAATAGACTCTTTATTCATATCACATTAAGTGGAAGAAACATACACCAGTCAAAGACAGGCATAGGATAAATATTCTGCGTTCCAGGGCTCTCGATGCTTGTGATGAAACTGAAATGACCTTTGACGGAGCACAAACACACCTATCCAAACACACAGTTACTGTTTTACTGTATCACAGAATTAGACCGTGAGAAGACCTCTATGTCTAAGCCGTTCCTAATAAGATATATTGTTTTTCAAAATTAACATAGACACTGCTACTACGTAACAGCACACAGCTTGATTCTTCACATTAGCGTACACGTCTAAGATCTGTAAAAAATGAAGGCAAATGTTACAACTCAGCAAAGAGGACTAACTTAATCAGAATTAGTCAAATACAGATGCAAAACACTGGTATGGCAGAAAAAAAATCAGAAAAAAGTTTATAAAAATTCAGAACTCATTCATAAAACTGAACACAAGTCCTTCTGATGAGACTATCCAGTTAAAAATGAACTGCAAGGCAATACTGTTGAAAATTATTTTTCTTTCTCTTTTACCAACTATTTGCAAAAGGCAATTTGAAAGCTTCCTTGATTATTTTTTGTTTGTTGTGTGTTCTTTCTTAAATATCACAGACTTGCCTATGAAAACATGCCTCTTTCTGTTGAAAGATCTAGCAATGTTTGGGCAAGGAGCTGATTTCACCATAAATGATACCTGAACTGGGTGGGAATGACTGACTTGCCGAATAAATCCAGCCATCCCCTTCCCTTATCCGTTACAGGTCAGGAACATCATGGCTCAGGCTTCAGCTTATTGCAATATCAGTAATACTTTGAAAATCAGCAGCGCCTGCCCTTGAAACAAGGGAGTGCAAAACATAATTGGGGGAGGACAGGACACGGGGACGAAAATCAGAATGTGTCCAGGATAACAGAAGAGAAGCATGAAAGAGTTTCCCATATTTTGTAGTTTACTTTCAAGTAGTAAACGCCTTGTTTGCACTTACAGCAACAGCAGCCTAAAGGCAGCAGGCAGGTTTGCTGCTCACAAGGCCTGGCTTTGATCACATCACGTATCTCTGCTTCTCTCCATTACGAGGGGAGCTGTATCTAGAATTTGATCTAGAATTTCACTAGCTCTTTGTGGAGTCTGGCTCCACAGCCACCCATCTGTTAATCATAGTCTATTTTAACTTTTGTAATAGCATTGAGGTTTGGTTTTTCGCTGCTACTCCTTCCGTGCACAGAAGTTAAGTGCTTTTTCAGAGCAGACTTGTGTTTGAAGTCCATGTCACAACAATGGCACTTGTAGGGCCGGTCGCCGCTGTGTATGTTCAGGTGGTCCTGGAGCGTGCTTTTGGCAGTGAAGGTCTTCAAGCACACCACGCACTGGAAGGGGCGGATGCCCATGTGCCCCCGGATGTGTCTGTTGAGATTCTTTTTTTGCGTAAACGTTTTGCCACACTGCAAACACAAGAAGAGTTTGTGCATTTTCAGGTGTCTGAGATAGTTCTCAAGATGCAGAAATCCCCTGGGACACTTGGGACACTGGTGCCGCCACGAATTGCTGGAGTCGTCCAGGCTCTGGAACCCATTAATCACACTAGAAGTTCCTTCTGGATTGTCACCAACAAAAGTCTGAAAGTGATTTCCTGACATTTCTGTATTTCTGCTTTCAACTGTCGAATTTATCAAGGAGTGCTGGGTTTCTGGAAAATACAAGTTTGTTTTAGAGGATGTGCAAGGCTGAGGAAAATGATCGTTTTCTATGTTTGCTACGCTCATAGAATCCATTCTGAAGATACAGATTTCATCGTCCTTATATCCGATTTCAACCGTTGATATCTCTGGGGTTTTTGTGTCCTTTCTTTCCGAGATCAAGCTCTGCACCACGGGCCGGGAGACGTCCGCCTTCTCCTGTTTCACGGGGTATTCCACGTTCACGGGGCTGTCTTCAGAGATCTCAATTATCTCACAATCTTTATCTAAAACATCATCCCCGTTTCTCAGTTCAGCGTCTGAGGAGTGACACCTCTCCGCTGCTTGGTCGCCGTTCTCCATGGAAGCGTCGATCTCCAGGTACTTGGACAGAGCCTCCGTACACTTCTCCACGATGTGGACCATCTGGAGGTAACTGGCGGCCGTGAGGTATTTCAGCAGCTCCTTCTTCTTGACCTCCAGGGCGCCGGTGTAGCAGGAGAGCAGGAGCTTCCTGCCCACCTCGGCGCTCTGCAGGATGGTGATCCGCACCTGCCGGGACTGGTTGAGCAGGAACTGGTCCCTCATGAAGGTGGAGCAGGCGGCGAAGATCACCTTGTGCCCCTGGAACTCCGTGTCGTTGATGTAGATGGAGACGTCGCAGAAGAGGTTCTGCTGCCGCAGGAGGTTCATCTTCTGCAGGACGGCGTCGCCCTGCTGCTCGAACTGGAAGTGCAGCACCTCCGAGTCCGCCGCCATGGCTACGGAGCTTCCCGCCGGGGAGGCACCGGCACCGCCGGGGAGAGTCACGGAGCTCCCGCGGGGGAGGCACCGGCACCGCCGGGGAGAGTCACACCGAGCCCGGGCCACCCCCGCCGGCAGGGCCC